GCAAAAGGGAGAATACTCACTTCCTCTACTTCCAACTGCTCTCTTGCAAACACACACTCCCTCCTGCTATGCAAAGCGCTCCCCGTCCTGCAGAATGCAGCGCTGCAGCGAGAGGCCGGACTCTGCTGAGGCTTGGAGCTCCCTGCCGGCCCCGCCCACCCCATCATGTGACTCAGCACGCAGCAGGACACGCCCACTTCCTTCAAACAACCCCCTCCCTCCAACACATTACAAAAACCTGAGGCACAAAAAGTCAGCTTCAGGAGAGATCACATTAGTGCTTGTGTCCCTGTGCTCACTCATGTCCTCCATCAGACAGAGTTACACTAAGGCAGCAGCGCAGCATCTCTACTTCTAAAGTCTAAACTTCATCAAGTGAAGGACGAAGCCGAGGCCACGCTGCGTTACAGAACGGTCAGAGGATATGGTGACATTTGTTCTTTCACAAGAGGTAAGCAGTACTGAACAATGTCACCGCCACCAGACGGAAACCTCACACACGTCATCAATAAAACTGATTCATCATCACTCTTCAGGCTGTATCAACCCGGCAGCAGGTTTCAAATCATACAAAGGAAGACTTAAAATCACAATTCTTGTTATAGAATGAAACCCGGAAAACAGAAATATTCATCACATTTTTAGCTTTTTGAGGCGTCTTGTACTCGTCATCTCTGATGTGTCACTCCGTCAGAAAATTTAACCAAATCCAAGCTTCAAAAGTTGTGATTTTTCTTTAAAAACTCTCAATGTTGCATTAAATAAGGCATCAAAAATAAACTGTTAGTAGATTCTGAATCGGTCTCTTGGTGCTCCTGAAAAGTCATCAGTGACTCAGCTGCAACCACGACAATAAACTCTGAGACTTGGCAGGTCGAGCCACAGGTTCTCCTCTAGTAACACCTGGAGGCAAAGACGTGCTGATCTCAGGTTGTTTCACAATTTCTAAAACAAATATTAAAAAGAAACCAAACTCCAACATTTCAACGCTTTAATATGATAAACATGCTTCAGCTCTCTCTACTTCTGGACACAGTTGTGCTGTTTTCAGAGGATTTTATGTTGCAGAAAAAAATGAGCACAGAACCTGCATTTTTCTATTTCCTACGGTTGAATATAAAATCCTTTACAATGAAGTACCTTCACATCAGTGAATGTTCAGAAAAGCAGTACTCACTTGTGTTTTGAAGCCTGAGAAGTAAACCAATTGCTGTGGCTGATTACTACTCTTCCAGTGTGTATATTTGTGTGATTAAAGAGTAAGAAAACAGCTGTCTGCAGCCTCACAGGAAGTGTAATTACACACCAGTGTCGTGGCTGCAGCGCAACCTTCAGCCACACAAGCAGAAACACACTCAGGGCAGCACCTGCATTCCTGGAAATGTTCCTGAGAAAACATGCACAACGGCCTGGAAAGATGGATTTGTTTCATGTCATTATGCAGAATTTGCTGCCAAGATCCGAGATAGTGCTGAATCCCTCCAGTCTCTAACATATCTGCACCTTCTGCCCTACAGACACATGCATGGCTGTCAGTGATAAAAACCAGGTCCAACCAAATATGGCCTTAAAATAAACCCTCGCTGTACTTAGTTTTTACAATGTGGAAAACCCTACACTTTCCTCAGACTAAGGGCCTCCTCTCTTACAACCTTTCGTTCTTGGCCTCCTTTTCTTTTCATCTCCGTCTCTCTGAAGCTCAACTTTATCTCCCCAGTAAAACCTGCTTTAAACTGGAGATTCTAAAACTGGAGCAGCTAGCAGGAGTCACTGGTGGGATTAGAGGCTGCTTTCTGCTTGTTGAGCTGTTAGCTGCTTCAGGTCCATTTTGAAGTTTAAATCTTCTGTTGCTGTTACAAAAGAGACGTCAGAGATAAAGCAAGTCACAGTCAAGTGGAGAGAAACAATTCAACATAAATGAGTCTAAACCACATAAACAAGAGCAATGTGCAGCTCTCTGTCTTCAGTGCAAAAAACTGATTTAGGGAAATATAAGCAGAGCAACAGTTGTTTGAAAGGAGAAAATGTTTGTTCAGACTCTACAAGCTTTCGTCTGCTCCTCATCACCGCCTCTCTGGAGCCACTCGCTTCAGGTTTCATTAATAACTCGTCTCTTTTTTTCACCAAACTTTGAGTTAACTTTTCCTGGAGCTCCCCAGAGTCTAAAACTACGTCGTCACTGACAGCCAACACAAAGTGTGTCCACCCTGCAACTATGTAGATGACTCCACAGATGTCATCACCAGGTTAAATCAGACCCTTTGTACGGTAACGACGCTCGACTCCTGAGTGAACCCTGCGTAGAGCGAGCCAGCCGCCACTGGTTTGATCCGACGCAGCCTGGCACGCTCTTTTATTAGAGGGCCGCCCTGCTGGGGACGAGGCCTTCAGATGGAGGAGATGGGATGCAGCAACAGAAAGCCAATGTCAGGGGCTGATGTTTCTGGGCTTCACAGAGCCAAGATGTTGTCATGTGTTGGCAGCAGAGCGCAGGGCTGCCTGGCTGACCCGACTCCTCGCAGCTGTCCAAGGCCTTTCATAACACTGAAACATGATCGCTGGACACAGCACACACTCACTGGGCGCAATACATTCAATGCATCAAAGGCATTTCTTGTGCACTGCACCTATAAGCTGTTGTGAGTGTAAAGGGACGGCTGGGAGACATCCTACATCAGCATGAGGAGGAGGAGGAGTCAGGGATGAAGGACACCTGCCATTCAAAAACGTTATATGAAAAATGAAGCGGTCCTTAGCTGCACTGTGTTGGAGGCTCTGAGAAGTAAATTGAAAAAACAGCAACTACTGCATGACGCTCTCGTGCTGCCCATGTGAAAGATGTGGGTGGTGACCGCAGAAACTAAATGTGTCCTTTGTTTCCTTTCTCTGGAAGGCAACACGAAGCCTCTGTGCAGGATACCAGAGAAACCTGAGTGTGTCCCCATGTGTGCACATCAGTGCAGTCTGTGTGGACGGTTACAGCACGGGGACCAGAACCCATGATGGAAGCAATACGAGCTCAGCATGAAAACGTGGTTTAAGGTGAAGTTTAGGTTTAGAGTAAATCTCCAGGAAATGAATGACAGTCAGTGTGACGCTGTGTGTGTCTGTGTGTCGATATGTGTGTGTGTCTACGTGTGTTGCTATGTGTGTGTGTGTGTCTATATGTGTGTGTATCTGTGTGTCTATATGTGTGTGTGTGTGTGTTGCTATGTGTGTGTCTATGTGTGTTGCTATGTGTGTGTGTGTGT